ATATTTTAGCCAAGATCTCTGGTGCATTATGGTCAGTTATTGCCACTTCCCTGACCTAGGCCCCATATTAAAACTATAACTAAAGACCTGAGGCCAGGGCTGCATAGGTGGGCTCAATTCACCCAGGGTGAGGCCAACCCATGGCAAGATGCAAAGTTGTGCAGCAATTTAATTGTGCAGCAAACAGCACAGTGGAAAAAAAAGATGGGAACACATGTTCCTCCTGTCATAAGTATTTTCCTGAGGAATCTATCCATCACATAGGCAAAATCCACAGTATAAAGTATGGCCGCTTGCAAACTCTATGTGGGTTTTGATAGAGAGGCTAGGATACTGCCAAGAACATCCCTAGACACTGTGCCTGTCTGCTGTCTCTCTTCACCCCCACAAGATAACTAGCCTGAAAGCAAGAACAGGGCCTGGAGAGAACTTCTATGGAAGATTAAGGAACGCCACAATGGTAGTTTGCAAAAAAGATTGCTCTAATGCATGAAACAGTTGCCACATCATGACACATCCTTAGTTTATATGCAATATATCCACGGAGAATGGCTATTCATCAGATGTATCCCTCTTTCAGAATGGGGGGAGCCTCTTTTCAAGGGTAATACCTAGAGAAAACAGCAGGCCAGGCCAGGCCAAATGAGACAAAGAACTGCTAACTTCCTTTGGATCCTCAGTATTCCAGGAGACAGCTACAGTTTACCAGTCTGTGACTGTAAATGGTCAATGCAATTTAAAAGAACCATTCTGTTCTGCTTGCATTCACATCTGATTACCTGAGTTAATATACACCAGGTTACTTTCGTGGATAATACAAAACTCTAAACAAGTTATTGAGTACTGGTGTGTTAAGGTCATAGCAGTGCAACCACAGCTTCTAAAATTATGAATGGGATATTTAAAGTAGAAACAAACTAGTGACATTCCCTTTGCTACCCTCGTCCACAAGAGGGGATGAGGATACTATAAAATCAAGACTGATCAAACTAAATTTATTTGCAATTCCATGCATAGTTAACTTACAGAACATAAAAAGTAAATAGCAATAACTTGTTTTTCTTAGATAACCAGATGCATATGAACAGCAACATCCACCATATATGCTACTTAGACAACAACTAGCCAGACTATGTATCCCCATACTTTTGGGAATATACCAGTCACTAGCTCAAACAGCAAAAAACCTCCCTCCACGTCATATGCCAATAAAATGCATCATGGGGATTTTCCATCTTCCTCTCAAACATTTACCATACATTAGATAAAATCCAAGTTTGTGGTTAAAATGGCTTGAGTTTTTAAAAACCTGACCCAACTAATAAAAGAATAAAGAATGTATTTACTGTAAAGTGTCAACAGATACAGTTTTTAAAAGAAATAGTCCCTTCCTCCACCAAAACATGCGACAAAAAACCCTATAAAATTCAAAGAAAAAATTATTAAAAGCCAGAATTTTTAAAAATGTTTTTTTCAATTGTAATGAAAACATTACATTACATAACTGTACTTCTATTACAGTTAGGATGTGGAAGATTTTGCACAATATGATTTCATTGTTTGACATCCCCGTTTAAAGAAACATCAACATGAGCCTACAAGAATACCACATAAAACAAACCTAAAAGAAAGGCAATAAAACTTATTTAAAAATGGAAGTGAGGGGGCAACCCACACACACTCATATAATGCTACAAGACTCTCTTGACTCTTATGTTCCTGCAAATAGGAAATTTACTGGAAAACACACAAAAAGAAGTTGCCTTCTTAGAGAAGCATCAGCATTACAAAATACCTCCCATTTAGCAAATTTCTATTAATATACGGAAAAGTGGCCTTCTTCGAAAGACCTGTTTCAAGACCAAGAAGAATTAAAGACCTGAACAAACATTTCCTTGCCCCAAATATTCCTTAGCATCTAACATAAACAAAAGCCAGCAAGCCTCCTACCCATTACTTAGTTTGTGTATAATTTTCTACATCATGGTCACATGATTTTCTGGGGAACAACTTAACAAATGGGAAAAATATTTACGAGTAAACAGGTCTCAGTGACAGACTAGTAGATATTTAAAATCCACACCCCCGGTTTAAGTAAATTCAAGGTCCTTAAAGTGTTCCTTTTCTTCATAATCTATTACAGAAACTTGTGAAAACAAAATCAAACTGAAGTGTAAACAATTTAGGGGGAAAAAATCTTGAAGTAAATTTCAGACACTCTTAACCCCTGGTCCTTCTGGTATTTGTATTATCTAATTTGTATTATCAAATTGTTAACCTGGGTAGTTTGTAAAAATCATCATGCTAAAATCATAGAATCATAGGAAGCTGGGGTTGGAAATGACAATCTATCATTGTGGTTTTAAATATTTTGTTTCATTTTTGACATGCTTCTCTCACCCTCGTTATTCTGTGAAAGATGAAGGGGAAAAAAATTAAGCCTGTTTCCTAATTAGTTTTAAGTCAAGTGCACAACATTAAAAAAAAACAACTATCCAGGCTCTGTTGTTGTGATCTGAACTGCTACTTGCAACAAGCAAGTTTTCAGAAGTGCAATTTGAGTTACCCTGTAGAGAAATGGTTCTCAACTTTTTGTAGACTAGAGGCACCAGTCCATAACTTTTTTAAATGGGGTGCAGCTCAGTTCACAAAACTACCTTATTACAGTGCATATCTTCTTGAGGAAGGGCCAGGCAGCGAGGAAAAAGCAGCAGCCAGGCAGCGAGAGCCTAAACCTGCCCTTATCTGCTTACCTTTTCACAACCAGGGTGTTGCTGGCATGTGAGTCACTGCTTCAGAGTACAGTAACCCACCAAGAATGTTATATCCTGCTTCCAAGTGGCTTGTTTGTTCTTTAAGAGCTCAGTGTAGTTCTCTCACTTAGTGCCCCAAAGAGGCCAACTAATCCAACCACTCCTTTCAAATGAAGTTTATATGTAATTTTAGGCTGCATTTTTCCTTCCCTCAGTAACAGATATTACTATTATACCAGCTAAAGCAAAGTTAAAAAGAAGCAAGGCTCAGTGGTGGGTGGTATAAGGAAGTTTACAAGAGGCAGATAGCAGACTGAATGAGATTGTATCCAACTCTAAGATACAAAAAAGCTCATTAATGAGGTTAACAGCTTGCTGAATATAAATTAAATACTACAGTATTACTCAGAACTGATACTGCTGAATATTTTGTCACAAATGGATATCAATTCCTTAGAAATTAAGAAATCTTCTAGACGGGAAAACGCTGCTTACAACTTAGAAAGCCATTACTCTGTTCCAGTGGTTCTCAGCTTTCTTAGTATCACAGCATCCCTATATAGTGTTAAGGAACCGCTCATAAAAAGTTAGCTCTTAGCTCTCACTCATTTTTTGACCACAGAAAAACATGGTAATTCTTCTGTCGCAGAGCCCTGAAAGACTACAACAGGTCAGAATGTGTTTAACACTGTGGATTCTTATTTGCAATCTTTGGATTTATCTTTTGGATAATGCTTGCACACCTAACAGTGCTAACACAGTATGCAACCCTGCAGTACTGTTGAAAGGATCTCAAGGCATCCCAGGATACCATGGCACCCTGACTGAAAACCACTGCTCTGTTCAACAAGCTAGAGATTTCTTCCTTCTATACAACCGTTTACATCATGGGAAATAGCATGTTTCTATCAGCCCCAACGCTGAAAGAAAAACAGACTTTCTACCTGTACTGCACTTTAAAAATCCAAAACAGGTCTGCAGAGAGAGCCCTGTACAGACATTCAGTTTCTCCTGGGAGAGTCACTACTCTGTCAGGAGAAACCGTGACTGTACACATGCTCAGGCTTCTTCTCCCAGAATAATTTTTTTTCCCCCAGGAGAAAAATAACTTGGGAACAACCAGGGTTAAACTGCTCACAGGAGAGTTTCTCCTGGAAGAGTGAATGTCAGTACACATTGCCTGTCTACAGCAGGCATTTACGCAGAAGGGAAGTTGCACAGAGGTGTAGCTGGGTGCATGTTGTTATATACCTAATGTCATCACCAACCACATTCATGAAAATACATCTCTTTGTACCAAGACCCAGGTAAGCCAAGCCCACACTTGGACAATGCCAACCTCTGCCACTCTTCAGCACAGACAGACTTCGCGAAGAGGCTAATGAAGCAGCTGATGAGGAGAATGCCACAAACACATATCCACTTCATCTCCAAATCTGAGTCTATACCTACATGGGTCTACACAGGTGCAGATCTACCCTGCCCTCCGCTGGATTTCGGCTAACAGGGCTAAGCGCCTCTCTCCACACGCACAGACCCACCCACATAGACAGATGTGCGCGCGCGCACACCCACACACACACGAGACGCATGTGTGGACACGTGTATGCCCACACACACGTGATGTGTGCGTGCACACACACACACACACACACACACACACACACAAGCACGTGCTAGGTACATGCCTGCCCATGCACACATGCAAGACACAAGCATGCCCATGCAAGACATGAGCACACCCACAAACACACAAATGCATGATGCATGCGTGAGCATGCCCACACACACTTGAGGTGTGAGCACGCCCATGTGCACACACACACACACACACACGACACGGGTGTGCCCACACATGGGCGACACACGTGCACACACACGACAGGTGCATGCGCGCCCACATTCACAAGACCCATGCATGCCCACACAACACACCCAAATGAGATGCGTGTGCACCATGCAACACACCCACACACACGCAACAGGTGTGTGCCCCCCACACACCAACATACGTGTGCACACACAACACGACTGACACATGCACAGGGCACGATCGGCGTACGTACACATGCACACACACACGACAGACACGCAAGTGCATGCGACACACGCACGCAGCCCCCAGCAGAAGACGCAGGTGAAGAGGCGGCCGCCTCCGCGCACCCGTACCAGCGCCGAGGTCCCGGTCCCGGTCCCCGTCCCGGCAGCGGGGTGCTCGTTTCCCGCAGGCTCCCGCCCCCAAGTCACCTTCTCCCTGCTCGGGGCCAGGCCGGGCCGGGCAGAGGAGACCCCCCTGCCCCCGGCTTGGCGCGGCGCGGGGCTGCTGCGCCGCCGAGACAAAGAGCGGGGCGGGGGCTGGACGCGCAGGGCGCTGCGCCACG